GACAGGACACAGTCATGCGACCCGCCATCCCCTGAAGAAGCAGGTCACCATCACTGTGTGGAAGCTTGCCATGCCAGACAGCTACTGATCCATCAGAACCCCAAGGTGTGTGTGTGTGAAGTACTGGAATGGGGAACCCTAGGGAAAGGGGGTTTGGGGATGGAAATGAGGTTGGTGGGGGAAGCCCCCTTCCCTGGGGCAGTTTTCCAGTCCTGCCCTCATGTAGCCCTGCCGGGGAAAGGGCTATGTAGGGTGTGGCTTCTGGTGTGAAACAGTACTGATTGCAAGCTTACCAGGGTGGACAGGAACCAATACACTGCAGTGCAGGAAGGCAGCAGCACTATTCTTTATCTCTGATTTCCTTCTATACATGTGTAGCACTTCTCCAAATTGTAAATAGATCAGCTTTAAAATGTTCTATAAATATAAAGGTACTGATGCAGTAAAAAAAATTACTGATCCAATACTCTAGCTATTAGTGTAGCATAAGAGTTTAAGCAGTAATCTGCTTCTTCTTGGACTGTATAAGCACAGAAGACTTTTCTGATAGTAGCTTCACAACTGCCTAACCTGTTCTTTATTATTCTGGTTCAATAAAACATTTAAGCACATGTGTAACTTTTGGCATGTGGGCAGTGCCAGTCGATTTAAATGGAACAACTCCCTATTTAAAGTTACATGTGGTATAAGTGTTTTTCTGGATCAGAGTCTATGCTTGCTAATACTCATGCTATGATACAAATGCATAGTTATTAGGGAAAAATAGATTTTCTGGACTAGTGGATTTGAACAGCAAGTTACTGTATAAGAACCCAATTCTGCAAACACTTAATCATATGACCGACTTGACTCGTATTCATAGTCTCAGTGAACTCAAGGGGCCTATTCAGATAAATAAACATACTTATATGCACAAGTGCTTAGAGTATCAGGTCTTTCAGTGAAAGGAGCTAACATATGTTTTCGTTAAATTACTACATTGGCATAACTCCTTCTGATTTCATACTTAGTTACATAGTAAATGTTCAATGCAGGACTTCTAAAATATTTTTAAAATAATTCATTTATTTAAATAACAGAATATGCTGTCATTAATTAGGGCAGCATAATTAAAGCCAATTAAGCTTTGGCAGCTTGTCCTGTGGAATATAAAAAGGGCTGTGAACCATGGGTTCTGACATGGGAATCTAGTTTACAAAATGGAAATTATCCCTCATATATCAGCACTTACGTAATTTGGCAACCAGGAGTGACCAAAACCTGCTGGCCAGTGTGAACTGTCTGTACTGAAACAGAATTTTATTTACTCTACATACTCTGCACATTTTAACATCTGTAATAAAATATGGTGTGTGTTTGGACTGCTGTCTAGCTGGAATAAAATTAAATTTGTTCATGAAGTTAATGTTTGTTTCCAGGAGCTAGGATTTCCTACTGAAAAAGAGAAAGCACATTGTCTAAACATCTTGAAATTTTACACGTGTACAAATTTAAATTATGTTATATGCTGTTTTTCATATGCAATTGTTTTATTTAATAGTGTTTTTATAAAAGTGAAAAATCTCATTTTGCATAGCTTTTTCCAATTTTTTTTGGACCAGAAAAGGCTTTTATGAAATTTGGCCTGTATACACTGGGCCAAATTTCGGAAAATCCCCCTCTTTCGGAAGATCCCTTCTTCCTCACGGAATGAGGAATACAGGGCTTCCGAAAGAGCGCACTTGCACTTTTGCAAGAAAAAGCAGAAGAGCAAACACATTCCCTGGATGCGGCAGAGTTTTTCCAGGATGGTATCCTGGAAACCCCCGCAGTGTAGACATAGCCGAAGTTGGAGTGTATGGGATTCTGCAAGGAGCACATGCAGCTGTTTCTCCTCCTCTTCCCAAGTAAGAAGGTGGAAGGA